TCGATCCCCAGCACCACATACCAACAAAGATGTTGTGTCCGCCGAGAACTAAAAAATAAATATTAAAAATTCTCTCTCTCTCTCTCCTCTCTCACTCTCTCTTAAAAAAAAAAAAAAAAAAAAGATTCGGAGGATTGAACCAAAGGACTTGTGCGTGCCAGGAAAGTGCTTTATCCCTGAAGTACAAGGCCAACCCAATTTACCTGAGACCAGATCGGGTCATGTTAAATTGCCCTGGATGACCTTGAGTTTACAATCCTTCTACCTTAGCCTCTGGAGTAGCTGGGATTACAAACCCGCACCTCTGTGCCCTGCTCCAGCAATATCTTTAAAGTGCAAATACTGATGTGGGTCAATAGCAAATTTGACCCAGGCTCTCCCCCAAGATTATTGGTATTCTTCAGCTGGCAGATTTTTTTTTAATATTTATTGTTTAGTTTTCGGCGGACACAACATCTTTTGTTTTTGTATGTGGTGCTGAGGATCGAACCCGGTTCGCACACATGCCAGGCGAGCACACTACTGCTTGAGCCACATCCCCAGCCCAGCTGGCATATTTTTATAATGACCACCCCATTTCAAAAAGGAATGAAAGGGAGGTGGGACTGTAGCTCAACCGCAGAGTGCTTGCCTAGCATGTGTGAAGCACTGGGTTCGAGCCTTAGCACCATATTAAAAAAATAAACAAAGGTATTCTGTCCATCCACAACTACAAAAAAAAAAAAAAAAGAGGAGGAGGAGGAATGGAAAAGCAGGTCATAGTGGTGCACACCTATAACCCAGCTACTTGGGAGCCTGAGGCAGGAAGACCACAAGTTCAAGGCCAGCCTGGCAACTTAGTGTGACCCTGTCTCAAAATACAAAATCAAAAGGGCTGGGGATGGAGCTCAGTGGTAGAGCACCCCTGGGTTCAATCCCTAGTATTGCAAAAAAAAAAAAAAAAAAAAAATCAAGATAAAAGGAAATGAATAGAAGTTGGACTCTTCTAATTGGAGACTTGCTTGAGAAATTGGGTCAAGGGATGCCAAGAGCCAACACTGACCACCACCTCTGCGCTAGGAAGTACTAAATAAGCATTTGGTTAAGTTGGTGGACTTGTTGAATCCCAAGGGCAGCACCATGCAGGGCCTTTCCGTTCTCATCAGGTGAGCAGGTGAGGAGACAAGTGCAGTGAGCCCAGGGCCAGGGTCAGATCTGAGACAGCCCAGCAGAATGATTCTGTTTGGACGGTGGTCTTGGTCGCCTCTGGACCTGTCATCTCCTTTGGTGGCTCACATCAGTGGATACTAAAGGAAAACAGGAACTTGCAGAACCTGTGGCAGGCAGCCAGGGCATAGGCCACTCCCTATCCCTTCCTCCAGTGCCTGAGATGAGCCAGAAGTTGAGCTGCAGTGACCTTGTCCCTTGCTTTGGGATCCTGAGCTGACTTAGTTTGGTAAATACTGCTCCTACAGACTGATCTGCTTTGGAAGGTCTGAGAGTCCTGGAGAGGATGTATTTCCCTACCTTGAACTTCACTTGCTTTATGAACTCCAAACTAGAGCTTCACAGACTTGAGATAGCAAAACGTTTTTTTTGTGTTTTTTTTTTTCATCTTTTTCCCCATCCCTTCTTTCCTCCTTTCTTTCATTTTTTTTTTAGTAATAGATATTAGTGGGTTTTTTAAAAATAGTTTTAGAGTTCTAGAAGAATTGAAATGGTAGTACAGAGAGTTGCCATATGCCCCGTCCCCAATTTTCCCAGTAATTAACATAGTACCTTGAAATGGTATATTTGTTATAATTAATGTACCCATATAGATGCATTAGTATTAACTAAAATCCAAAGTT